GGGTGGACCTCACGCCCAGGACCGGTCCTGACTTGGGGGCGAGCCTTGGCCAGTAAAGCCTTCCTTTCAGAAAAGCTTCAGGCAAACAATGGGGTGTTTTGTTCACACCAGAGGGGAAGGTGGGGAGAGAACGGGGCTCGGGCAGCTCTACCGGAACCCCCCAAAAGGTGCGGGTCAGCCTCCGGGACCTGCTCCTGTGGCGACAAGCAGGACTCCGGCGCCGGAGGGACAGAGCTGACTTCCAGCCGTGTGGCCTCACACACTTCATGGGCCAGAGCCTCAGGTTTACCGTCTGTAAGAGGGGCGTGACCAGCCCAGGGTCAGCCCAGGGACTCGGCACCGAGAACACACAGCCAGGCTGTCGGTGGCCTGGGCGGGGCAGCTGGAAGGATGAGCCGGCGCCGCCTCAGGAAGGAGGACGGAATGTCTTCATTCTTACCTCCCTGGGGCCGGGGCGAGGACAGCGCTGGGCTCACCGCTCACATCACCGCCTCCGAGGCGGCGCTCTGAGGGCTGAGATTCAACCGCCACCTGCAGCTGCTCCGAAAGCAACCATCTCCCGTCGGCATGACAGTGGCATCACGGGCAAGCCGGCTGCCCGCCCTCTGCCAGGGTCTGACGCGGGGGGGCGAGGTCAAAGGGGGCAGTAGTCCTGCCTCCTTGTCCAGGGAGGGGGAGATCCCAGCCTGGTCCAGCCAGCAGGGGCAGAAGCTGCCAGAAATGCAGAAATTCGGGCCACACCCCAACTTCCTGAGCCAGAGCCACCAGATCCCCAGCTGAGGGTCCCGAGTTCAAGTGTGAGGAGCACTGACTGAACTTCCCAGGCCTTTCCTCCTCTCTGAAACGAGGGGCCAGCGTAGCCTTTAAACAAACTGAATATGAATGTAACTAGATTTTAAAATGAGTAAAGTAGCACATAGTCCTAAAGACAAACACGGAGGAGAAGCGCTCGGCCCGCCCGCCACGTGCCCAGGCCTGGGGCTCCCCCTGCACGGCCTCTCTCTGTCCCTCAGGTGAGGCACCAGCCAGTATTTGCCCTTTCGTGTCCGGCTCATCTCACCTAGCATCACCCCCTTAGAGCTCACCTGTTGTAGCATGTATCAGAATGTCTTTCCTTTTTAAAAAACCTTGTTAAAATGTTTTAATTGATTTCAGAGAGAGGAACATGGATGAGAGAGAGGAACATAGACCGGCTGCCTCCTGCATGTTCCCTAGTGGTGACTGAGCTGCAACCGGGAATCGAACCAGTGACCTAGGCCAGTGGTCGGCACACTCATTAGTCAACAGAGCCAAGTATCAGCAGGACAACGATTGAAATTTCTTTTGAGAGCCACATTTTTAAAACTATATAGGTAGGTACATTGTTATTAACTTAATTAGGGCACTCCTAAGGCTTAGGAAGAGCCACACTCAAGGGGCCAAAGAGCCGCATGTGGCTCGCGAGCCGCAGTTTGCCGACCACGGTCCTAGTGCACCAGACGATGCTCCGCCAACGGACCGCACTGGCCAGCGCATGCTGTCCTCGTTCAGGTGAAGAACATGCTACTACACACCGAGCAGTGTGTTCACCCGCTCACGGCCCATGGACCCCGGGCTGCTTCCACCTCCGGCTGTGGAGCCGCACAGGCATCTGAGCATCGCTGTCCGGGGCTCCATGCGGGGAGGGGAGGGGAGGGGAGGGCGGGTGGTGGCTGTCACCAGC